AAATTTCAGATTTTTGTATTAAAATCACTGAGAATAGTACAATAATGTAGATTATTTAATCTAGATCAGAAAATTATCAACATTGAGTATTTTGTTTTTTGTTCACGTAATGTCAGAAATCAAAGAAAATAATGAAGAAATTTTAAAAATTATATTTGTCAGTTCACATAAAAATGAGATTGTTTAGATGAGGTAAATGATGATGATGAGGATAGTGAAAACAAGTCTAATGTTAATAAAAGAAAACAAAAAAAGAATGATAATAATGAAGTTTCACTACTTACTTTAGAATATATACCTATTCAACATAATTATCGCGATTTAGATATAACTTTACTTAATTCCTTTCAACCCAAAAATCTCATTCCATATATAATTTTTTCAGAAATTTTCTCTAAAAAGCAAGTTAAACTTATCATTCAAAACACAAATATATACGCATATTATCAAAATATAAAGAGAAATAATTCATCTGATAAAGTCATAAATGTATTGAATTGATAGTAAATAAATTAATGATATGATTTGCCCTTGTAATATATATAGGTATATTTCAAATTCTATCTATAAAAGAATATTTGAGATCGGATGATATTTATCCAACTCATAAAATCACAAATTTAATGTTTTTATTTCGTTTTCAACAGATAAGTAGAATAATTGATAATTGCTTTGATTTATTTTATTTTAAAATTTTTTGATTAAATTATTTTTATTAACTTTTTACATTAAAAGATATCTGTATATTTCAGATATTACAAAACAAACGAATATTCTTTTAAAACTCGAACCAATAGCTTCCTATATTCACAATATTTCCAAAAAACTATACATATCTGCATCTAATATTTCTATAGATAAAATGATAGCCTGATTTTCTGGATGAAGTGCTTATATGTTTAGAATAAAGAATAAACCCACTCTAGAGGAATATAAGATATTGTCTTTATGTGATTCAGATTATACATACACTTTTATGTTTACATCAAGAGTCAAGACATCTAATGTTAATGTTATTGAAAGTATTAATAAAATTAACGTGGAGGTGTATCATCTAGTTGACTAATTGCTATCACAAAAAAAATTAACGTTTACATAAATAACTACTTCTTAAGTGTAAACCTTTTTTCTTTTCTTCGAAAAAAAGGCATTGATGCGTGCAAAACTGTTAGAACAAATACAGCGAAATTTCCTGTAATTCTAAAGAAAGAAAAAAAATAAAAAAAATATTAATTTATTAAAATGATTAAAATTTTATATAATTAATTTTATTTTATAAGTATTATACTATAATTATTGTAATTATAAATTTTAAACTATGTGTTAATTAAATTTGATTATAAAGTTATTAAATTCTATCATAATACTATTTTAAAAAAATTATATATAATAATAAAATAATTATAAAAAATGTAAAAATTATAATTATAAAAATGTGCTTAATGATTTTTTATTTACAAGTTTTAATTATTTATAATCTATTAAAAAACATTGATTTTAAAATATAATGATTTTATTTATTTTATGAATAAATTTCTAAAAATTTGTATAAATTTTATTTTTTTAATTTTAAGAATTTTAATCCAAATTTAGTCATAAAATTTAACGATAATATAATAATTATAATATTAAATATATACAGTATATACAAAATTTCAACTTTAATTTTATAAATAAGTAATAATTAAATATTTAAATATTTAAATTAGCAATATATATAACAATATATATTTACTAAGTTTTTTATTTATATAAAATGAATAGAAATAATTAAATTTAGCTTTTAATAAAACTATTTTTATTAAAGCATTTAAATTAATAAAAAGTTAACTAATATATAATTTTTTTTTAATTTACTTATAAATTTCATTATAAAATATTATTTTTTCTTTAAAATCATTTTTAAATATTTAAGATTAAATTCATTAATCTTAATTAATAATAAATTGTCTTAAAATTTGAAGGCAAAGATCTTAAAAGGATAAAATCAAAAAAAAAAAAGAAAATTAAATATTTATATGGGTTGTTTGTGAATTAGGAGACATGGTAAATTCATAACGTGATTTTAATAACAAATTAGCCTTCATATATTTAAATTTTGAATGATGTTTTAGAAAATTTTCAAAATTGCCGTATTTGAATGGGACTTTAAGCTTATTTTAAAGAATAAGTGAATTACATAGGAATTTATCTTTTTCTTTGAGAACATTTAATTTAGAATAGACGATAAAAAATTATTAAATGTGCGGCGTTAAATTGTTTTTCCGGATAATGATTTAGAACAATTTTTAATGCATGTTTTTTCAATGAGATTAAAAATGGTTAAGCTTGGGAAAAAAAATGATTATCATGCAGTGTAATAATCTAGTATATAAACGGTAAGATGGTGTAACTCGCATATCGAATTCTGGTGGTCGAGAGATGGTTATATATAGTGATGTAAGTCGCGACATTTATGAACAGTCTATCATAAGAAAATAGCAAAGTTCCAGTGCACAACTGGTTTGTTTTGTAAATGCACATGAGTTTGAATAAACACAGAATTTTAAGGGTATCCTTTATCATTTGAATTTAGTAAGTAATGCAACAATCTTTGATGTATTGTTTTTTTCTGTGAAATTTCTTTCTCAAATAGAATCTATAACTTTGAAAACTTGATTATTTTTATTTGGTTTAAATAAAATGCATATCAATTAATAATTTTTTTTTTTTGGCGGCTAATGGTATTTTAGGAAATATATTAACTAATATTATATGCTACTACGTGAAATTTCTCCTTTTTTTTTTTGATTATCTGGTCTGGGGCTTAGTTCAATAAAGTATTACTTTTATGAAATGCGTTATCAAGATGATAAAAAATTAACACAGTCATATTGATCAATTATTTTTATAAGGTTAAACTTAAAAAAAAATTTTTTTTATTTTTTGTGTATATTATTAAATTAAAAATTATAAAGTGATTATATGCAAATGTACAATTAACGGATCTCTTTTTCACAAAACCGATGGCTGAAAGTCAACAAATCAAGAAGTAAGACGCTTTATGCTGGTTTAAGAACGGAAATTCCGTTATCTCATATTATTCATTAAACATAAATAAATCTGTTTAATCAATCGATAAATACACACTTACACAAATAAATAATAATATTTTAAAAATCATCAAATAAGTTCCTCACTACACACACTGTTCAATGAGTTTAACATATTTATGGAAAAAAGTTCATATTTAAATTTCTCGTGTAGTACAAATTGATCACCCGACGGGTTGATTTAATTCGGGTCTCGGGTCGACCCTAACCCGACTCGACAACATAATTCGGATCAATAACCCGGGTCGGTTCGGAGCACTATGTTGCTTTAAGATATGAAAATGATCGCGACACAAAAAGTGTTTGATGATTTTTTGCAATATGGTGTGATTTAAAAACGAAAAGTAGTTGGATATTGGAGAGACTAGTGCCCCACCAACCATTCCGGGGGATAAAGAAACGATTTAATTTCTAACAAAAAAAAATTTATTACCACTCGTAGGAGAGAATATTTCTAATACTCGTAGAATTTTTCACCCGTTATTGATTTTGTGATATGAAAATAAAAAAATTTTTTCAGAATTACCAATTTTGCAAATGACAATTTATTGTGCAATAATTTGCAATTTAAAAATTTATTTATTAAAGCTAACTTTCCCTTAATTCGAAGAATAAAGAACTATGTAAATTGTTCTTTCTCAAGAATTCTGTTTATCGAATGAATCACAACAAATATAGCAAATGTTTTTTTTCTTCGATAAATAATAATAATGTACTGTATTTATTCGAATTACAAGTTTGATTTAAAAAAAATTTCTTATTATTGAGGTTTCACAAACTTTATTGCTCGCTGGTAAAAAGGAATAAATGTCTCACTAGTAACATGTGAAGTGTAGTTTTTAATTGATATAGATTCCAATATTTAATTGAAATTTTTGGCGTTGGCATCAAAGCTAATATGCAGGCTCCGTCTCAACATTAAATTTCTTGGCACTTGCGAAATTGCAAACAAATCTGAATATAATCAGTGCGAATTGCCAACCATAGAAAGATTTTAATTTGATTCGGTGTCGATTGCTTAAAATTATTAAAGTTCGTGAAATGAAGGGAATCCTTTAAATTTGTTCAAACATTTCATTTTAGTACAATTAGAATTACCGGTACACAACGTGAAAAAAAAATTAAACTTCGTTAAATAATTTTAACAATTAATAGTTGTTATAATTATCCATTTATTTTTCTATTATATTTCATTATATATAAATATTCTTGGGAAATTTTTTCAAATAACATCTGATTATTTTTGAATAAAGCAGTTGATTCATCTGATTCATCATATGCAGAACTTGATTTCATGCTACGAAATATGCTTTAAAAATATCTATGTAAGCCTGTATTCGCGGAGATAAAAAAATTCCCGATAAACTTTAATAAAAAAATTTTTAAAGGCTTACAAAGAAACGATAATAAAAGCAAAGTCAAACGGTAACTTGCAGCTGATGCCATTATATTGACCAACTTTTTAATTTTTTAAATTTGTTCTTACATTTTTATTTTCTCTACTATATATACATGCTTAAAATATTTTCATAATGTTTTCTCATTCCAAAAATAAGAGGTTTTGATGAAATAAATATTTTGGGAGTTTTTATTCGTTAAATGATGTGATGTGATGTGATTACGACGAAGTGCAAATATAAACCAAAAGATTATCACAACTATAGTGAAAAACCTCATTTTAGTAAAAGTTGAAACCTATGTTTTTAATTTGACTTTGTGATTATTATAATATAATTTGGTGGTACCGAAGGTAGTGCTATCACAACATAATTATTATATAGATCCCATTAACCGTTCTAAGGACGACTAGAAACTATCCGACGAATTGCCCCTAAGCCAAGATTTTAAATCATGATTATGAGAAAATTCGAGTGAAAAAAAATAAATTGTTAGATAAAAGAATGGAAATTAATTTTTTCGTTCCCAAATTTTTTCGTGGATTCTATCAAAAATAACATTAGCAGCATCTTCCCATGTAAGATCCAACATAATATGGTGTGCTGCACCTTTAATGATATCAAATCCGACGCCATAAGCTTTGGCAATTTCCGAGACATTCTTTAAATTATCAATAAAGACTTTGTCTTCCTCGGCACCAATCACAATCATAGGACATTTGATTCTTGAAGGATCAACAAATGGCTTGTTAAGTTTTATAATCGCTCCTTTGATAAAAGAAAATTTTTCGAGTTTTGGATGAATTTCTCTGGCCATAGAATCAGGAAATGCCTTAGAAAAGAAAGCTCTTTTCATTAATTTAGGAGTTTCAATTAACGCATAAGTGTTTAAATTAAAGAGCGCTTTAAGGATAGGTATAATTGGATGACTTAAAAAAGTTTTACAACCGTTTACGAAGGTGATTGATTTGTAACTATAAGGTGACGATGATGCGAACAAAACTCCGCACGTCACTTTCTGGTGATTATTTTTGAGATAATTCTGAAGAAATCCTCCTCCAAATGAATGTCTAAAGTCAAGATGAAAAAAATAACCAAAATTTATCAATTTAATAAATCATGTACATTTTATATTTAATAAAAAATGAATTATAATTACCCCACGAGAACAGGTTTATCTCCGGTTCTAGCAATGATTGCATCGGTTACGACTGATATATCATTCGTAATCTCACTTAATGACCACCATTTATCTTTATTAGGAGTCTTTGTACTTTGTCCGTGTCCTCGAAAACTAATATAAAACAATTCTTTTTTTTAATAAATTTATGATTCCCTAATCAAACCTTTGTTCCGCGATATAATTTATTTACCTCATAGCGTAGCAATCATGTCCTTTATTCGAAAACCAGTGACAAAAATTCTCCCAAGCCCAAGCAGCAAGATTTGATCCATGAATGAATAAAATTGGTGGATAATTCTATCATGCAATGAAACATTATAATCCTAATATATAAAGAATTTTAGGACTAAATTTATAAAGGCTTACCGATATTATATTAGCGGGAGGATAATGTAAGACTTCAATTTTAATACTTGCACTAGAATCAACGAAAAAGACATCTTTATCTGTGTGATGATGTCCTGAAAACATTTAAAACGAATGAATTTATTAAACTTATGATTTTTGATGAGAAAATTCTCGCGTTGTTGCAACGTTAATTAATCAATTAATTTTTGGTTTAAATTAGGATATTTTCGTCAAAATTTGAAATTCTCATCAATTCCTCCTAACCTATTTATTATAAACAAGATGATTTTCGGGTAACATTTTGAAAACCAATAGGAATGAAAGACCTGATTTTATTTCCATTTCTGTTACTCATTTGGAATAACAAAAATTTTTTGTTTTTAAATTGAGAATTTCACCTGACATTGTATAACAAATTGGAATCACACAATCATTGAGCAGGGCGATTTGCTAATATAATTTTAATTAGATTTCCTGGCGATCAATTCAAACTTGTATGAACAGTAATTTAAATTCCTTGGCTACATTTACTTCTACTTTGGTTTGACAAGTCGATCAATCAAAAAAATTAGCTCAATTGTAACTTTAATATGATTGGTTACATTTTTTTCAGTCGATAAAGCAATCAGAATATTTTATCGAAAATTGGCAACAGGCTCAAAACAAAAGAATCAAAGATTTCAAGCAATTCTTGAATTAGAGACTAAATTAGGAACATGATGTATGATAAGGACGCTAAAGAATTTTGTCAAATAATAAAATCCGATTTTATTGATTTTATTTTGAATTGTGAAGAACTGGGTCATCTCAAAGATTATTAATGGAAGAAAAAAATCTTATACTGTACTTCCAACAATCTCGCCATCAAGTTAACCTAAAAAATACAAATAAGATCGATTAATTCGTGTATTTCCCGAATCTTATAACTAGAAATCACAATACCATTTGTCTTACTGCTAGCGTAACATTACGTATTAGATATTTAATACTTTTGCGAACTAATTATTATTATTTTTTTTTTAGGGAGCTTAGGAAATAGTTCATTCAAAATTTCGAAAGGGTCGTACAGTTTATCTTGTGTAACAGTTCGATAGGAACGCACTTATTGGAATTCGTGCTGTTCTTAATAGTATTCAAAATAATCATGGTGTTTTTTCATTTAAATTTGAACTAATGATTATTAAATTTTATCATGTATTTTATGTAAATTTACCTATAGCGCGATATTTCCAAGCTTATGATTTCGTCGTTTATTGTAAATGATTATGTTTCTTATCGATGTCAATATTTTTTTTTTTTTTTTTTGATGATCCATTAGGCCCGACGACTGGGAATCTAACAATTAAAGCAAGAATCAAATTTCTAACGTCATCGTTTATATCTCCTAAAATTAATGATTATGGCAATCATACTAAATGATGAATCATAATTTCCTTCTTTTTCTAATCCATTTTTTTTTAACAAAGCATCATTTTAAATTGACGGGAACGTCAAAATTATGGTCATCTGAGTTCCTAATTTCAATGTCAATATTTTAATGCAATTAATTAAGAACAGCGAATAATCGTTAATCGGAACGAATTCAGTTTGAATAAAATTTATTAATAATATATTTACAAAATTGGATAATAAAATTCAAAATAAAATTTAATGCTAACTAACCCATACGATATTAATGCATATCTTACTTTTTTATTACCTGAAACACTTCATAATCGAAAACATTTTTTTTAATATTATTTTTATCAGCAAAAATATTATCCACTTCAGGATAAGTATAACCATTACATTTACTCATGATGTTACTTTGAATACCTAAATTCCATCCACCACCAAAGGCTGGTCCAATGTCTAAACGGTTATAAATAGCAAATGCTTGAAAATTAACTGCTACTCTTGCAATGTATCCTGAATCAATATCTTTTTGATTTTAAAAGAAAATATAAAACTGTCTAATGTATTACCCCAAGTACCATAAGTACTTTTCCAGTCTAATGGATTATAACCACCAATAATCTTTGCATTTTCTTCCAATTTTGAAATCATAATAGTTGAACCTTTTTCATCACATAATTCATGAAATTTTCCCGTTTCAAATCCATCTCTACTGGCACGATAAAGAAGATTCAACGAATAAGGGATACTTTTAGATTTATAAAATGATTTGTCTTTTCTATCAATCCAGCTTATAATTATCTTTAAATGTTCTTTGCCGATAAGGATAGAATCAAAAGATAAATTACTTCTTTGAGGTAAAACTAAGGTATCAGGTGGTGTATCTGGATCCATAAAGTAACCAATGATGCTTTTATAAAGTTTCCTTGGAAAAATTTGTTCATAAGAATCGACATTCCTCCAAAAAATTTTTGAAGGGAACTGAAACCATCTAACGTGAGGAATTAAGTCATGAAGAACTTTTTACAACTCTTCAAATTCTTTTGAAGTCCAGTGAGATAGATCAATTTTCATTGGAGTAGACATTTTTGAAATACCCCATTTGAGAATGTAATTCCATACTTCAGTTTCGTCCATTTCAAGTTTATTTATTTTTAAAAGAAATATCATATGATCTGCTTCTAGTGATGAAAATTTTGGAGATTCGAAAAATTCTTTAGGATTTTCATAAATATTTTCTAAAAAATAATTTCTTAAAATTTCAAAAGCCTCATAACGAAATATAACTTTGAATATTCTAATGGGTTCATTTCTCAAATATTCAGTTTGATTACTTATCAAATAAGATTGAATGTGATCACATAATTTTGGTAAACTCATTTCATCCGTTGCAATCAAAAGGTCCAATAACTGTGCAACATCTAGATCTCCTAAATGAACATTTCCAGTATATAAAAACTTTAAAATAAATTCAAAGATTTCCGGAGAGATATTCGGCTTTTTAAATGTAATCAAACCATTTTCTTTTTTTGCCCATTTCTTTGAAAAAGCGGCCTTAAAGTATATTGACCTAGCTCCTAGAATCAAAGAATGCGTGAATAATTCTTTCATATTTTGTCCTTCCCCAGCTTGGATGATTACATCATAATCATATCCGCTAGAGAAAAGGTTTCCGATATCATTGCATAAATCTGATGAAAAATGTTCCGCCATGAGTTTGAAATTCCGACGATCACAACAGAAATACAGAAATTCTCAGGAAATTCGGAGGAATTTTATAGTTCATTCCGTTGAATAATCGTGTCATGTGATATTTGTTTCCTTATAGAATAATGAACCAATAAATATCCATTATGCAATAGGTGCATCAACACTCTGTGGTTTTAAAATACCGAAATTGAGCGTTAAATCATTTTTGGTATTCTCAAGCAATTTCTGCTGCAAATCGCCCAGCTAGTTTTGATGAAAAAAAAAACTATATCAAATTGAATGAATACTTTTTGGCTCGCGTTTCTAATCGGTGAATATCCAAACAATACAATTAAAGGATCCTTGGCATAATTATTTTTTTGATTATTGATTTTAAATCCATTTTTAACATTGAACGATAGTTACCGTAAAAGAAAATGATCAGCATTATAATAGTTTGTTTATAAAAAAAAATTATTTATATATATATAATTCTATTATATCGTGTATTTATTAGATACAGTATACTTGTATAATTTAGATTATCTATCAAAAACATACTAACGATTTTTGATTCAAAAAAAAAAATACATTTTGAGAAAAATCGTGCGACGTTAATCAATTTTTTTTTGATCTACCTAAAAAAAACAAAAAAAAAAACTGTAAATTAATGGTAACGTGATTTTTTTGACCCCGCAAAATAAGAGTTATGTGATGCGTAAGTTCTCTCTAATAAAAAAAATAAATAAATAAAAATTAAGAAAAAAAAAAGGAAAATGAGCGATACCGAATGACAAATAATTGTAATCATGATGGAAAAACGGTTGTTTTCAAAAAAGATCTTTCATCTCGTATCTTTACTGAAAAATCAATTTTTTAAACTTTCACATTTACAAATGATAAATGAGATATATGAGCCAGCCACTGAAACCATAATTGTCCGCGCGCAGATCATCAATTACCAAAGGTTGTCGTCATTGCCTAAACTGGTTAACAATAGGGGTAATATTTAAATCAAATTTCCCAAAAAAAAAAAAAAAAAAAATTATCTTTTTCAAAACAATGTCTAACGAAACCACTGAAACCACTGAAACCACTGAAACCGATGATGATTATGAAAGTTTGTTTGAAACTGGTGAAGGATATGATGCTATTATCTATGCCGGTCAAAATGAAGATATTAAAGAAATACGCGCGCACTCGACTATTTTATGTTCTAGATCACAATATTTTCGTATAGCGTTCTCAAAAGAATGGGCAGAGAAGAAGGATGGAAAATTCATCTTTAAAAAGCCCGATATTTCACCACTGTTATTTGAAATCATTATCAAATACATTTATTGCGAAAAGATCGATTTGACATCATTAAAAGATCATGATGTATTAAAACTTCTGTTGAAGGTAGATGAACTTGACGTTGAAAATTTAATGTCTCGCATCAAAGAATACTTGATTCAGCAAGATCCCATGGGAACTATTGAAGCAGTCTATCAATACGAATCATTTACCGAACTAATTAACGCTTGTCTTGAAAAAATTTGTGAAGAACCTGAATTAATATTTGATTCGGATAAATTTCTTAAATTAAAAGCACCTATAATGGAATTGCTTTTAAAACAAGATTTAGAACTAGATGAAGTTATTATCTGGGATCGTTTGATCAAATGGTGCCTGGCACAAGAACCTACTCTTACACATGATATTGATAAATGGAATGAGGAAGAATTCAAAATCATGGAGAGGATTCTTAATCGATTTATTCCATTAATTAGGTTTTTACATATCACACCAGATAATTTTCTCGATAAGATCTATCCTTATAAAAGGTTTCTATCAGAAGATTTGATGAAGAACATCCTGACATATCATATGGCTCCTCATAGGAAATTATACGTTAATTCGTTACCCCCAAGACAAAAGTATGGTTCACTTATTATTAAACCTCAACACTTTCTCTTATTTATCAAATGGATTTATAAGAGAGGCAATACGGCCAGAAATATTCCTTATAACTTCAAATTGATCTATCGAGCTAGTAGGGACGGAAAGGACACAAAGATCTTTCATAATTTATGTGATGGCAAGGGGGCTACTATTTTTGTCGCGAAAATACAAGGTACAAATCACGTCATCGGAGGGTATAATCCATTAGATTGGTATGAAGAAGGTTATAAATACACGTCAAAGAGCTTTATATTTTCCTTTAGAGATCGTAGAGATATCAAAACGGTTAGGATGGGTAGAATAATGAAGGGAAATGAGAAACATGCAGTTTATTGTGATAATACGTTTGGTCCATCTTTTGGATATAGTGGCGATATCAGTTATAATAATGATGAATTATGGAGCTCCTATAATAAGGATTCATACGGTCTCATTGATATCCCTACGAGCTTTGATATTGATGATTATGAAGTATTTCAGGTCATTAAAGGTTGTAAGTGAGTGATATTCGGTATTCTTTATCTTGATTAGATTTATCGTGTTTTATCATTTGTAATGATCAATAATGTCAAATATTAAAATTGCTTAACATTGCTGAATAAATGATTTTGGCTTGTAACTTTCAAGCCGTTGCTATATATAATTTTAATTCTTTGTTCCGACCTTTTTTTTTTTTTTTGAAAAAAAAAATTACTATTAGCTGTACACGTGTAATTTTATACAAAAAAGGAATGATATACATGATCTACGCAATATATTTTAAGTACATCCAAGAAAAGAAATACTCTTTACCAGAAATTAAAATAATGGATATCGTGATTCGTTTTTTTTCACTGGCAAAAAAGATGGGCACCGAAAACTAATAATTTTATTGGTTTTTTATGATCATTATACAGTACAAAATTTAAAAATTCCTGACGTGAAATAAAGCCAAGAAAATTCTTTGATCCGAAACAAAAGTAATGACGGACAAATGTTCAACTATTTTTTTTGCGCCACCATTCGAATTTTTTTTAAAAAATATAAAATATTTTCAATTGGATTAAAGTTCTGGACTATTTCAAGGACACGTCCAAGAAGGTGAATTGTCAGGTCTCCTTGAACATCAAGATGATGCATTACCCAAGTAAATTGGTCTATATCCAAAAAATTTTGTCGGTAAACCAAAAAAAAAGACGTGACATTAGCTGGTTATTTGAATGAAAGATAGAAGTTTGTTGCTCAAGAATGTTACATCGTGGTATGAAAGAAAATTACTTCAGTCAGACAGAGAATAAGCCTACCAACAGTAATATGATCAAGGGACCAAGTAAAACTTTTTATACATTATAGCGGTTAATCGTATGTTTCTGTCAGTTATTCTTTGCAAATTTAATTTAAATTTACGTTGGATATCATACCATTTTGTATGGCTTCTGGAACACATCAAAACACTTTTCGAACCTTTCGTTAAAATATCCTAACAGACATTACAGTGTGTGATTTTTGGTTGTTATTTTAATATATTGATATAAATATTTTTGAAAATATATATATATATAGAAGAATGTTCTTAAAAAGAAATTATGAAATTTAAAGCAGTGCTTTTAACATGCAATAAAAACAAAAAGTATGCAATTTTAAACCAATTCATCTATTCCACATCTTTCAAAGGATAAAGGTTTCTCAAAAGATCAGCTTTCAGCTCTTCATTAGGAAGAATTAATCTGACATAATTGTAAATTTTTCCCGTCAAGCAGGCCTTGTGCAAATCCCGTGGATCAAATTGGGGAGTTTTGATTAATTTTTTATACATCTGTCTAAGTTGTCTAATCTCATCTTCCGTGCGACAATTCATAAATCCATAATCCGCACGTACAGGATTACTGAGACCTACTGATTCGCTCAGCACGTATTGCTTGAGATAATAAACGCTCTTTCTCGGCTGTCCATGTACATGAATTTCTATTCTGTTTTCTGATAGCCAACTGCTGCTGTCACATTTTCTTTTCAACAAGTCCACTACGGTTCCCGATACGTAAGCATCATGGAATTCTTCGACCTTGCAGCCCTCCTGAATGATAAGTTTCCGATACAATTAAAACAATCGTATTTCTTCTTCTTCCCCATGATAATCCTTACCAACTTTACAAGAACAATATCCAAAATCAATCCAACATTGGTATTCAACCTTTGGTATATATCCCATGAGTGTAATCAAGTATAAAACAATAACGTTACGCTTCGATTCTGGAAAAGATTTGAAGGAAAGTGTTTGATCGTGTTCGGAAAGATAAGGTTTGACCATTGCATAATTCTTATCCATCAATTCTTTATCAGTTTTGTCGCCTTCATATTTATGCAGACCCTGTAACAAATGTTCATTTTCTAAGAACCATTGGTAGTACCCGCTATTTGCACCCGCATCAGAATAAGCCTTTTTGATACCAAGTGGCAATTCACCTTTTTCCCACCAAGAATGAATGTGAGATGCGCTGCAACCTATATAAGTTATAAGTCCAATATACAAGCCTAGAAGCATCGATTTTTCTCGAGGATTCATACAGTTGTTAAAACCATATTCATGTAGCACCGCCGCCTTCGTGGGCACCAGATCGGCAAAAGCACTTTTAACAAGGTAATCCGCAGATCTCGGAGGACAGTCAAGCACATGATTGTCATAGTCTTTCTTTTTGACATAACTTGCTACAGTAATACTTAGCATTGCATCTCGAACAACAAGAACTTGTGGGTGTTTTACACAGGCTACATTCCATTTTAACAATATCCTAACTAAGAAAAATGATTTTGACGATTTTGTAAAAACATGAAACTATTTATGAAAAAATTATTATGCAATTAGTAATGGTCTGATGATGCATTACAATGTCAATAACATTTCATGTCAAACCTACTGATAAACATGAGCATCAAAAAAAAGCTAGTAATACTTTTCCGAAAAAACCTGACACAATATTTGTAATATTGTTACCTACGGCTAAGTAAACCAGCTTTGTGAATACAGCATTACTTTTTATTTTCAAAAGTACCTTTGTACCATTCATTAACTTTTATTAATTCAGAAATTCTATAATTATTGCTCATAAGATTTTATGAATTTAAATAATGTTCAGATGAACAATAAAAGATGATGATGCAAATATGGCAAGAAAGAATACAATTATTCCCATGCGTGAACGGCAGCAGTCATAAATGCCTCAACAAGATCATTCATGAATAGCTTTCATGATCGAACACTTATCAAAGAATTGACAGAGATTATCTCTGGGTTGTGATTTAAGAAAAGATCATCCTTATTTGCAACGCAATCACCACCAAAAACAATTCTAGCATCACTTTATATTAAAAGTGGAAATGATAACAAGTCGCTTCCTGATTTCTTGAAAGAAACTAAATTCCTCCTCCTCACTAGTAATCTCGCATTTCAAATTTCATCATGGCATTGCAAATTTGAACGCAAGAAGAAATGGTTTGATAAATCTTTGAAAAATTTGACGAGCCCTGTAAAAAATTTATTCCGTGATCCGTGAGTTCTCCGTTTATTTTAATAATTCAACATTCCATGCTTTCTCCATAAATGTAGCATATTCATGGAGTTTATAATTAATAAATGGAAATATTACTGACTATGAATTAATGACCACTTTAGTTTCCATGTGGTGTAGTAGATTAAAACGAAATTTCTATACCTAAAATTTGAGTATTGAACATATAAATGAAAATACCGAAAGTTATACCAGTATTTAATAAATCTTGAGTGATGGCCCTTTATCTTTCGCATCTGTAACTTTCTTGATAAACTGTTGTATTTATAAATTTAAAATAAATCAACAAAATTTATTAGAATTTTTATAAAATATTTACCCTTGTGTTGTAATACATGATGCAAGAAAAAGATGTTTTTCAGAAGTATAGACATTAATTGAAATATTATTTTGTGCCATTTTTATAATTACAGTATTGAGAAAAAATAAAGAATGTATGTTAATAATTTATTGAACGAAATTGAGGTATATTTATATGTTTTATAAGTATAGTAAAATTCATTATAAAAGCTTAAAGAGATTTCGGTTTTATAGTATGATTTAAAAACTTCGATTTTGTAGTCTATAATTAAATAAACTTTTTATTTTTGTATTACATATAAATTCAGTTTTTAAATGATGTATAAATAACGAAAAAAATATCTTTCTCAATTCCAGTTCGAAAAAAATCACGCGTTACATTATTTTTAATTGTTTTTGATATGAATCAGATGATGATTATTGTGCTACATAACTATTGTATAAAGCTATTTGTTTCAATTACTTAATAAACATAAAAGCATCACATAATTACTAATGAAAGAGCAATTCTTCTTTCATTACAAAATGAATACATGACAAGAAAAGTAGCAAAGGCTCAAAAATTGCATCTTCCACAGTTTCTTATATTGAATATACTCTTTTTACAAATTATTTTCCTTTGTTACATTTAAATAAAATTTTAATATTATTAAAAATTTACACTTATACTATTTAAACCAATTAATTTTATTAGATAGTTACCATCTTATTATTTGAAAAGATGTTAAATATAATCTTTACATTTCAATGTTTAAATCTGTTAAATTTGATTCTTCTTTTTTAGATAGATTTCTTTTTAATCTAGTAGTTTTAAACCTTCAAGATAGATCTCTCAAAATAGAATATAGATTAACTGATAATTCTTCTTTTATTTCACTTTATTACTGAAATAGCAACCCCTTAAATAATAGAAGAAATATATCACCTTTTGGAATTACACACAAATATTAATATTTATAGACAAATTAATTGAAAACTCCTTCATATAAAAAAAACTGATATATGCTATTTTAATTTAGTTACAATTCATATGAGACTTAAAAGTTTAGTTAATTTCTTAAATAGTAAAAAAAAATGTATTTCTAATATTTCCTTTCAAAAATTGTTAAAATTGATATTATAAAAAAAAAGAAAACAAAAAGTTTTATTAAAAAACACTTCCTGTTTATCTTCATCTGAACTAGTATATTGTATAAAAAGAAGAGCTACTCTGATCATAACCTTATCTTAATTTATTATACCAATGTCTTCATTGATATCTCAACTAATTAATAAATAATAATATATTAATTATTTTCTAAGATAACTATTTTTTTTCCTTCGCTCTGTCTTTAACCTTTTATACAAATGGCTCATTAATTTATCTATTACCAATAATTGTAGAATGGAAATAGGTTAGATTTATTTGAGCTAGCAACTTTCTTTTCATATCTCTGTAGTCTCTGTAACAAATTGAGCCTTATCAACTAGAAATAAAATCTTTATATTTCTTGTAATATTGATCATTTCATCAAAAATTTAAATATTACTTTATATACTAATAGTATGACTTACTATGACTATTATTTATAGATTTAGTTCTTATATTACCAATATAATTTCTTTATTCAAATATACAAAAATGTTTCTAATTATACATTCTAGAAGATAAACAAATTTATTGTTAATTAATTAAACCTTAGTGTTATACTTATCAAAGTCAAAGGATACATTGATGATTAAAGATGGGAACTGTAATTAATATGTTGCAACTTTTAATGTTGCAACTTATGTTGCAATTAGTTTTAACCTATATATGTTGCAACTAATTTTAGCTTATGTTGCAACATTTTGTAAATTTGAAATCAATTGCTGTACCATCTTTATTGATGATATTTATAATAATATAATAGATAATCTTATTCAATTAGGAACTCAATCACCTATAATTTTGATTAATTACTTAAAAGTTTCTATTATTAATTTATTATTTTAATTCAATGATATAATAATTGAATCCTCAGTAAGACATTTTTCTAAAGATATTTTTGCTGTTACTGCAATCTGCAATCTTTAATATTATTAATTTACTTAGAAATAATAATCTCAAAAATTTAACGTGACAGGTAAAATTCATTAAAATATTATCTGGTCTATTTTTATATTAAATCAGGCTACTTACCCAACTTCTTTTTATTAAAGAAAACTTCACTCTTTTATAATAAGGATATTTATTAGAAAATTACCTATATTATCTAAATTAGAAAAATTGAGATCAGATTTATACAAAAATTAAAATTTTATAGACTATAATTAAGCTACAGAAATAGCTAATCATTTATAATCATGTGATATTTATTCATCAAAACTCAAAACTATTATCTTTGATAATAAGTTTCAGATTATTGCTTTAATTTCAAAATGCTATTCTCCTTTTCTTTTTACCTTGATCTTACTACCACTAAAATACTCTTAAACAAATATTTTGCCTACCTTTCAGATAGAATCAGCTCATTTTTACCTATAATTTAAGGGAAATTACCTTCTATATTATTTAATAACCTTACAAATCTAATTGGATCTTCTAAAAAAACCAACAAAATTCTTATAACTGCTATTATATCTTTATATAAAAAATTATTTATAGAAATTTGGTCATATCGCTAAACTTCTATAAATGCTAAAGAATTATCAAAATATATCACTTTTGATATTAAATATATAAATAATAAATGTTAATATTTATCTTATAATTAAAGCATATTATCATCTAAAACTTAGAAGTTATAGATTTAACTTACCTTTATATATGAATGCAAGTAGATAGTTTTTTAAACCAGTTCTAACATGTTTTTTCTTTTTGTGACAATTTTAGTAATTATTATACTAGTTTCTTTAAGTCTAAAAAAGGAAATTAATGATGATATATTAACTTAGATAGATAGGTATATTTACATATTCTATTATTGAGAGATAGCTAACATTTAGTCTAGATTATTAAATAGTTTTTATTTTAATTTGTTTTTATTACTTATAATTCCTTTTACTTGTAATTTTTTTTATTTTCTTTAGAAAAATCTATAAATTATAATAAAATAGTTGGAAGAGTTACATCAAAAAAAAATTGGAATAAATATTATATTAATAAAATTATATAGTTCTTAATTTTTTATATTCTTAATTAATACATAAAATTATATTAATTAGGCTAATTATGCTATTATTTTAAATATTTAATAAAATTATCAATAATTTTATGATTATAATAATTAAATAAGATTTATAATATTAAATAAAGTTGTAGCTTTAGTATTTTTTACAATATTACTTAATATTAAAAATTAATATTATATTTTTGATAAAACTATTATAATATATATAATTATAATATATAAGAAGGTATAATTAGTATTAACTATTTTTGCAAAATCATTTATGAAAATATTAATCTAAACTTTATTTTTTATTTAATCAAATTACAGATTAATATTTAGTTGGATCTCATTAGTTATAAGAACAATTTAAACCTGATATAATTTGTATTTAATCAAATTGTGGTAATAATTTTAATAAAAATTAATAAAAATAACTTACTAACTAAAAAATTAATTGTTTTTTTAAATAAAAATTTAGTTGAATTTAAATTAAATAAAAGGTATAATTAATACTAATAATTAATAAAAATAATTTATAATCTAAAAGATTAATTGTTTTTTTAAATAAAAGTTTATATTACAGTAAAAGTATAATTAAATAATAAAAATAACTTACTAACAATTATATTATTAATTATTAATATTTTTGAATAAAATATTTAGTTGAATTTATATTATAAAAAAAAATATAATTAAATAATAATTAATAAAAATAACTTATTTTCTTAAGTAATATTTTTGATTTTTAAATAAAAATTTAGTTAAGTTTAAATTATAGTAAATATATAATTAAATACTAATAATAACTTACTATCTATTATTTTATTAATTATTAATTTTTTTTTAATATAAAAGTTAGTTGAGTTTAAATTATAATAAAAAGTATAATTAAATACTGATAATCAATAAAAATAACTTACAATCTAAAGGATTAATTGTTTTTTAAATAAAATTTAGCTGAGTTTAAATTATAGTAAAAAGTATAATTAAATACTAATAATCAATAAAAATAACTTACTCAGTTTAGTAATATTTTGATTTTAAATAAAAAATTTGTTGAGTTTAAATTACTATAAGAAATATAATTAAATACTAATAATCAATAAAAATAATTTATAATCTAAAAGATTAATTGTTTTTTAAATAAAAATTTATATTATAGTATAAGTATATTAAATAATAAAAATAACTTACCAATTATTATATTATTAATTATTAATTTTTTTTTAAATAAAATATTTTAGTTGAATTTAATTACATTAAAAAATATAATTAAATACTGATTGATAATCAATAAAAATAACTTATCATCTAAATAATTAAATAAAAATTTTTGTTAAATTTAAAAGTATATTTAAAATAAAATTTAAATTATAATAAAAAGTATAATTTAAATAATTATAAAAATAACCCACTTTCTATAATATTATTAATAATTACATTTTTTTTAAATAAGATAATAAGATAATAAAAATACAATCAACCAATAATATAAACTTACTTTCTATAATTAATTATAAATATATGTTAGAATATTGATTAATTAATAAACAATTTATTTAACTAATTAATGTAATTACTAACTGTATTTCATTAAATTTTTTTTAAAAAAAATTTGTTGAGCTTAAATTGCAATAAAAATATATTTAATTAAAAAGAATATCTTGCTTCCTATTTTAAATAAAAGTTTGGTCAAAATTTAAATTATATGTAAAAATGTTTAGATCATTATTAATTATTAAATATGTAATATTTTAATAAAATTAATTATTAAATATTATAGATTAGCAAACATATAAATAATTATACCGTTTAATTCTTTTAAAGTAGGTGCGTCTAATATTTTACAAATTTATCTTTAAGAAAACTTTTTAGTATATTTATTTGTCTTTACATGTAGAAGATATAATTTCATACATTCATTTAGTACATCTTTATCATTATTATATGACATTGTTATAGTATTATCTGTATATACATAAGACAAAAAAGGGTTCCAAACTGTAATAGAAAATTATGTCTGCAAATAATTATTCGCGTAATTTATACAAGAATCGAGAGAACAAGTTTGTCCGGCCTTACTGAATATTGGACATTCCAGGTAATGACCTATTATATTGCAAAGTAAATACGAACTATTTTTGGGGCTAGCATATACTGGATCACTTGTGAAGTTATACTATCCGCATAACCCCACGAGTTACCGTCAGTACTGTGATGAAATTAGATTAATAAATTCCAAGTTCATAAAATGTCTTCCTTGCCTAACCTTGTTAGATTTCCTCGTCCTACACATTACGCAATCTTAGCTCATATTAAGCAATTATGAATAAGGTTTTCTTGTTTTGCGACGACGCATCGCGCAAGTGGGCTAAGTTTAGTTTTTTGTAAAATGTAAATTATAAGAATTCATTGGAATGCCGACTTCGTATCTCAAGAATGCCTTGCAAACCTGATTTTGTATTATTGATTGTTAGTTTGTAAATCTTTTTATTTTAAGATAACTCGAGCAACTTATTGAACAGGACTTTCGGAAAACAGAATCTTTTCCTTAAGAGAAACGTGAATAGCTGTTGAGATGCTCGCAATTGGGGATGAAAATGATCGTAAATGGTGCAATTTTGGATCAAACTATATTTGATATTCGCGTCATCTCCACGTATTTTAACGTTGTACAAAGCTGTAATCTCTATAAGATATTGGGAGAAACTTGATTACGGGTTACCAGAGGACGCAAGTCCAGAAGCTGGTCTAGATATTGCAGAATCGAATGGTAAAGAAAAGTTGTTAACAGCATTGACCAACGATTTTGGAATCATTTAAAATAGTGAGAGCATTTGTGGCGCTCTTTATTCAATACAATCTATTATAATAAATAAGTCAAGATACTTGCAAATTTGTTTTTTATTTCACATTTAGTTGGTTCGGTGGATCGCGCTTTTAATAAAATTCGTTAAATCTTTTAATCGGTTTTACTCGACTTTATTATTAGAAATTGTGATCATTGTTGCTAAAATTACGAATTAATATTAATATTTCTTTTCTTTAAAGGGCCGATATCTCAAAACAATTCGTTCTCTAACTAGAAATAAGTATAAAGTATTTATATCCATAAAATAAAATTACTATGAATGATTAGCCAATAGGCGTTCCATTGATCCGTTCAATCCCAAAAAAAATATTATGTAACCAAAATAACGTAAATATTATAAAGGTTAAATATTTTCTTTACAGTTTAATTAATCGATCTTAACTCTGGTCGATCGTAAGAAATATTAAAAAATGATTACATTTACACAATTTCCTAAAGCTACGCTACTCATATTAAGTGGAGGTACCTTTCCGCAGCATAATCTTTCATGCTACGATGAGCAATTCGCAATAAGAGCCCTTGAAGTCTTCCGTTTTTTTTTATTTCAATAAATGATCAGGACGGCATTACCTTTTAACGGATTTTATGATCATCACAAATTTTTTAAGAAAAAATGAGGCAGACGCGAAAAAAATAATTTCCAAGCTGCTTCCGAAGATCACGAACTCTGCAAATAATGACACACGTAGTTCCGTTTGAAATCCAAATAGAGGTCCGAATGTTCAAAAACTAATTTACAGAAATTTATACGACATTAATGCATCGTCACCATATAATTACTGCATATTAAGTTTCTTTAAAGTACATATATTCGAATAGGGCGTTACGGATCATATAATTTCTTTGTTGATTTTAATAATATGAAATATGATCATTAGTTTTGAAAAATGATAATTCTAATATTATTCTTTCGCGTCGAGTTTATTTATTTTTTATTTTATTTTTTTTTTTTTTTAAAAAAAGACAAGGATATAATGAAGTGTGTTTGATGGCTTTTCTTTTCAAATTCCATCATTAGAAGTTGAATAAATTAAAATTTATTTGTGTATACTGTACAGAATAGCTAAATGATATTAAGTATTTATACAAACTTATAATAGTTGATATATATATAAATCGAGAAACATATAAAAAATAAACCAAATCTGATAAATGTATAATTATCATCATCTTTTCGTTTATTAATTTTTGAAAGTTCTTCGAATCTATTTTGGGCTTTTTGAAAACCACTTTCCGCAGATTTTTTATACCAATAAATTGCTTGATCGATATCTTTTCTAATACCAATTCCATCTTCAAACATAATAGCGAGATTGTATTGAGCTATATTATCTCCTAAACTTGAGGCTTTTTGATATAAATTAAACGCTTTGTGTTCATCGGTGCAAGTTCCAATCCCATTCCTATAAAAATACCCCAATATCGATATCCCGTTTAAATAATCTCCTTTAGCTGATTGTTCGAATAATTTAAAAGCTTTTTTATAATCTTTTTCAACACCGATACCATTTTTATAACAAAGGCCAAGATTATATTTGGCGATCATATTTCCATTATTTGCAGCCTTCTCATACCAAAAAATTGCCAATTTCGAATCTTCTTCGACTCCTATACCATACTCATAAAAGTAACCAATATTTAATTGTCCTGCCGCAAAATCCTTATTGGCGACCTTTTCAAAATATTTAAATGCTAAATCTTGATCCTTGATCGTTCCATATCCATTTTGACAACATATTCCAATATAATATTGAGCCAATATATGATTCTGTTTTGAAGCTTCAGTGAATAATTCGAACGCTTTCTCCTTGTATTCACTCGTTTCAATTCCAAAATAATTAAAATATCCCAGTAAAAATGTCATAGTTGAATTGTTCTGATTATTTAATAACCAAGTATAAATTTCTTTTAAAGAAACGTTGTAAATACTAATATAATCAATAACATGTTGCCTCCTAATTTGTGGTTCCTTTCCATCATTTGTCATCTTAAAAATAATAGTTACCATTCTATCAACTATCATTTTTAGCTCATCTTCAGGCTTGTATTGAATATCTATGATAAAATCGTCCGTTTGATAATTATTTATTGTTTTGTATGACTTTGCAATGATTTCTTTCATCCTTGTAACTACTTGATTCATCGTTGGTCGATTTTCCGGTTCGCCACTCCAACAATCTAAAAAGCATTATATCGATTAATTATGATTTCATTGAATAATTTATAAAATCATATACTTTTTTTAAGGAAAAAAAAATCTCATTCACCCTTGTAAAGATTAACATAATTAGTAGGTGTATCGGGGGCTGGTTCCTCTCTAAAGCCTTGAAAGATTTTCCAATGTAAATTAAAATCACCCATATCACAAAAGGGTGATCGTCCACTTGATAATTCCCATAAAAGCATCCCAACACTATATACATCGCTCTTTTCATTTAATGTATATATTTGCGTTGAAACATTTTTTATTTGTTTACTGAATAACTTTGGATCAATGTAAGGAAATGCACCACACAAATTTGTTTGATGTTTAGACGATTCCTTGATTGAGTTCCTCTCCTTTGACACCCCAAAATCGGCCAATTTAATGGAATTTTGATGAATTAATACACTGTTGGAGTGCTATTTTTGTTTAAACAAATTTCAGTTAATCATAAAGATCTTTTTCATCGAGTCATTTTTTAAAATATGCGTATATTTACCAGATCTCGATGTACGATGCCTTCCTCGTGTAAACAAGAGACAGCACCAGCTAATTGATATGCAAAGTTGTATTTATCATTCCAAGTAAGCTTCTTGAAGTTTTTCTTCAGATAATCACAAAGGGTACCTCCATCAGCATATTCCATCACCAGCAAATATTTCTTTTTATTATCTAAAAATAAATGTGTAATATTCATTTAAAATGCATTTTTACGTAATTACATATTGAATAAATCGATAACCTTTAAATGATTTGTACCTTGTTTAAAAGTAGAGATTCCATAGAAGCGAATGACATTGTTATGAAAATCCACTTCTCGTTGAAGCTTAATCTAAATTTAAAATTAGAAATAGCTTTTAGATGAATATCTACAAAATCTGCATGTTTCACGAATGTAAATTTCACGTGACATTATTCTGAAGTTTACACGGGTTTTTCCGAACATTTTTCTCCCAATTTTTCAGGGGAGGTTAAACCAACAACAAAACAAGTTAAACCTACCTCATTAACGATCTCTTTCGCGGTCACGTTGTTGAAATTATGAAAGGATTTCAACACAAAGTACTTGTTCGAATTTTTCCAGTTCGCGCGATGAATGTTTCCATTTGTACCTGTACGAATTTCTTTAATATTTCTGAAACGTTTAAATTCATAAGTTTTGATATGCTTTTCGGCGATTGCATCCTCAATCCAATTAATCCAATTATTTGAATTGGTAGTATGACGTGTTTCATGGGATTTTTTTTCATCATAATTAGACATGGTGAATATCAAGATATTAATTTATATTCTCGAAGGAATTTTTTTTTTGTTTTTTTTTTTTTTTTTAAAGAAAAAAAAAAATAACCAATGTTTCTTTGTTCTCAATCTGAATGAAACCTTTATTTTATAACAATTAATTATGCATCAACATGTTGAAATATTCACTTAGATCTGCATTTAGCATAAAAAAAAATTAGTGATTTCGTAATATTCATTATAGTTTTTAAGTTAATTAAACTTCATCTGGGGAAAAAAAAAGTGAAACTAATGCATGAATTCAATCATTTATGCTCATTAGACGCAAGCTTTAAATAAAACTTAATTTGGAATTGGACGATTCGAGACTAACATCGAGACCAACGCAGCAAGCGATTCAAAGAATCTGCTCTAGTAATTTATGCTGATTGCTACGATCAAGATCAACTCGATCCTACAAAATCTATGTAGGATAATCGTTGATCTTGTTAAATCATCCGTACTTGGAAAATTAATCCTTCAAAAAATCGTGTGAGTTAAAGTCACCATACCTGGATGTATAAAAAAATATAATTTTCATGTGTGAACTACGGACATAATTTTTGGCCACAACTTCACGTGCCAACAGACTGTTGGTTTCACTGAATAAGTAAAACCGTTTATTCTTTGATAGACCTTAATTTGGAAAAATAAAGTTTCGCCCAAATAATTAATAATACATACATATTTTTTTAAGTCTGACAAAAATATTTATTGTCATCATACTTTGCAGGAATTTATTTATTAACCGAAATTAGTTTTAAACAACATTAATTATTTAACTATTACAGACAAATTAAAATTATTTTCTAAAATTATTAAATCAGATTTGCACCTTCTATTTCTCATGCATATCTTCAAAAGTACATTTCCATGTACTATCGGGTTTTTGAAATTCACCAATATCTCTATACCAATCGTTTTTATTAGATTGTCCTAAACAATCGCCAACTGTTGTAACTTTATACCCTCTCTTTAAAGCATCCCTAATTTCATGAGGTCCCAGGGTAGTGGGAGTGGTATCAATTGTATCATGGTTTAACACGATATGAGGATTAGGTTGAGGTGACTTGTTCATCTCATCATCAAAGATTTTAGTAGACCCTTGTAAATTTCCTTGCCAATCTAAGGTATCAATATCCCAGATAACCATCTTATATCCTCGTTGTTTCAACACTTTACGTACTAAAGCGTTATGTTCTCCAAATGGTGGACGGGCGTATGTCGGTATTGCGCCAATAATCTTCTTGAATGCTACTTCAAGCGTTTCAAGTTGATAATTAATTTCGGCTTCTGATAATTCTGGTAAATGAGGATGTGACCATGTGTGTGAAGCTATTTGATGTCCTTCATTGAATGCTCGTTGTACAATAGGGGCGTAGTCATAAATGCAATGTTGAAGGGATGCATGTCCGTTCATGAAAAATGTGGCTTTAACATTCTTTGCTTTAAGTTCATCAAGCAATTTTTCAGTGATCTATTCAGAAAAAAAAAATTTTTTTTTAATGATTTATTGTTTGATAACAATTACTACGCAAATTTGATACTAACGTTTCGTGGTCCGTCATCAAATGTAATTGCGATGGTGTTTTGTTCGGTACATTTGTCAATCACGTCACTATTTCCTGGGGTTCCACAAGTTCCAAATGACGATTGACATCCAGTCTGACAGTGATCTATGTTCATCATACAGAAATTTTAATTTGATATCAAAGGAACTCATTCAGTTTAAAGCATTTATAAAGATTTTACCGGTGGTCACACCACAGAAGCCAAATTGAGAACAACAAACTCCATCCTCGCATCGAGTTCCAGCTGCTTCACCACAATTTCCATCTGCGGAGATTGGTAAATCTTTAGGTGAAGTTGTGGGTGTTGTAGGTGGTATTGTAGGCGGAGGATTACATTTGCCTAATAATTTTTGACATGATTTACCACAATCTAAAAAGAGAAAGAAAAAAAAATTATTGAGAAATTGTTCATCCAAGGTAATTCTTAAGAAATTTTTTACTTACTTTTAGCATCAACACAATTGCCTTTGTTGGTACAGCATTTTGTTCCAGGACATTTTTTATTTTTATTACATTTAGCAGCATCGATGACATTTAAAATGCACAAGGTAATTACCAGTATAACTAAAAATTGAACTTTAAAACCCTTCATTTTTGAAGAGATTTGATGAAGGAAGGAAGGGTATTTAGGTGGTGTAGTCGATATAAAGAATGTGTTTGAAAAAATATATATTTATATTTCTTCTTTTCTTCTCCAAGAGGAGAAAGGTACTAATGGGAAGATTAAAAAGGCAGAGGAAAAGGTGTGGAATTGAAAAATGTCCTCTAATTCATATCATATTTATAAAATTTTTTGAATTTCCAAGGGCTTATTTTCGAATTTCCTAATTAAATTAATTAAATTAACTTTATATACTTTATTACTCGTTCTTGATTAATAAACATTGATTTCGTAAAGAACCAACCTTGGTTAGCTAAAAAAAGCCAAATTCTTTGTAATCGGAACATTGATTTTTAAAAATACACAGCATATTATTTTTTAATGACTAATGATAATATGAATCTAAATTCCTTTGAAGATCAACAAAAGATCAACTTGAATTTCCAAAATCGTTGAATAAAACTTCACTATTCGCGTGCAAATCTAACTCAAAATGTTATATTCGCATTAATTGATTTATTTCCAAATTTAGGGTTATAAAGTATTTTTTGATGATCAACCTTTAAAGCGCTTCAGTGGAATTATTCTATTAACGGTTAATGCACACTATAAGCGAACCTGTATCCAAAGTCTAATTATATCACTCACTCAAAATCTCTAAAATGCATGGTTTGAAAATAACATTTATGGTTGGTTAACTTCATGCCCTAACTAATTTAAAAATATTATCCGGCTTTAAAATCAAGTTTCGGTTAAAAATAGGTCAAAATCGAACTCAATTCGTGTTCCGATTTGTGAATAATTTATCCGGGTCCACGAAATGATTTTCGGATGTTCCGTTAATCGAAAGATCTCGATCGATATTCAAAATAATATTATGTTTTTAATTATTTTTATTGTAAATACCAGTATTCATTTTTATACAAGTTAAAAAATTTAAATGCATAATTGTATTACATAGGTAATTTAAAATGTCAAAGTCCAAGAAACTGTAATTTCTACATATTAAAAAATTATTTTTTTTTTACTAATATAACGATAATTTTTTTGATGCTTGTACACTTTTATTGGCCAAAAGAAAAAAACAAATTCTTCTAAAGGGAATTTCATTTTCCCATAATTAGATTAGATCATGCGGCCCTTCATTTAAATTCAAGGAAACTTTGAATTTTTCTTTGGCGTAATTGCATATAATTAATTTTTGCAATTAGAAATTTTTTATTTTTTCCCTCGAAAACGTGGCGTTATATTTTGTTTTTTAATTCTGAAAAACCATAGGAAATTTTTTTTTGAATATTTCTTTTGGAGAAAAAAATTTTTTTCATTCAATACTTTTTTTTTTTGTATTACTCAACTACCAAAAATTCGGTGACATTTTCGTTAAACGATACACAAAAACAATTTAATCGATTTCAAGTTTTTTTTCTTTTTCTTTTTAGTTAATCAATTCAATCATGAGACAACCACCAGTTGAAGAGGAAGGTTTTTACTTGAGTTGGGCATTACTTATCCAGACCTCCCTTTTAATATTATCGTTATGTTCTTCCTACTACTTACAACTCAAAAAAATTCGTGCAATACACGAAACTGTGATTTCCATTTTTGCAGGAATGTTTGTTGGATTGGTGATTCGTATGTCGCCAGGTTCAATAATTCAAGATATGGTTACTTTTAATTACTCGTATTTTTTTAATTTATTACTCCCCCCTATTATATTAAATAGTGGTTATGAAATGAAAAAGGTATGCAAAACTTCTTTTATGAGGTTAATATTTGTACGGTACTTATTAATTGTGTATTATTCATATATTAGGAAAATTTCTTCAGGAATCTTGGAACTATTCTTACATTTGCGTTTTTGGGCACTTTTATTTCAGCTGTTGTCATAGGGTAATCATTAGACTGTCTTTATTGAAATCATTTTTTTAATTCATCTACTAATAATCATTATTTTCTTATAAAGAGTTTTGGTTTGGATGTTATCAGCTTTAGGAGTAGGATCACTATCACTTTCATTTTTAGATTCAATGATTTTTGGATCCGTTTTGTCGGCAACTGATCCAGTAACTGTACTTACCATATTCCAAGCGCTCAAAGTTGATCCTAAACTTTATTCTATAATTTTTGGAGAAAGTATCTTGAATGATGCTGTCTCTATTGTACTTTACGAGTTGCGTATTAATATTAAGAAGTAATTTCTGTAGTATAAAAAATTTTATTAATATTTTGAGCTAATCGTATTTTCTCGATGCCAGAACACTTAAACAGTATCGAGGTCAAGAATTTCATTTAACGAACATATCTCATGGAATATTTTCATTTTTTCTTAATTTTGGAGCTTCATTAATAATCGGATTTGCGATTGGAGCGTTGTGCGCTTTGATATCCTTTTACTTATTTTTATTTATATATGCTTGTCTTGACGTTACTTTTTTTTTAAAACAAATTATAATGCCTTAATTGATTTCATTACATGTTAAAGTTTTCTCAATTACACAAGTATTCTTCGATAGAATCATGTATCGTCGCATTAATTGCATATTCTTCATACCTACTTTCGAATGGATTATATCTGTCAGGTTCGTATATTTTTTATTCAATTTAATAAACTTTTTAAGATTAATTTAATAGTTTCTTTTATATTTTTTCCATTTATAACTTAGGAATCGTTTCTTTGTTGTTTTGTGGTATAACACTGAAACATTACGCATATGACAACATGTCACCACATACGCAGCGTACTACCAAAGCTTTGTTTCATGTGCTCGCCCAATTATCTGAGAATTTTATATTTATTTATTTAGGTTTGACATTATTCACACAGATAGATTTGGACTATAAACCCTCTTTTATCTTCTTTACATCGGTATGTGCCTGTGCTTCATGTGTTATATTGTTTTTATTTTTGTTAACAAATGATCTTTTTCCTTTATTAGATTATTATTTGTATATCACGATACTGTGCAGTATTTCCTCTTTCAAATTTAATCAATACTATGTCACGATATAGAAATAAGGGTGAAGCTATTCCACAAAAGTATTCAGTTATGTTATTCTGGGCGGGATTGAGAGGAGCGGTGGCATTTGCATTGGCAGCTGGATTGGATGGTAAAAATGCAAATGCGATGAGAACAACAATTCTGGTAGTGGTTGTGTTGAGTGTTATTGTTTTTGGGGGCACAACTAGTCGAGTACTGGAAATAATGAAAATACAAACTGGTGTTAAAGATGATGATGATGATGATGAGGATGGGTATCTTTCTGAAGAATATAATAACTATGTAAGATATCGTGATGAAGATAGAGATCACAATAATGGTCATAGTCGAACAAATTCTCAAGGATCGGTAGTGTCTAATTCTGGAGATACTAATAATAGATTTTCTAACGAATTGCAACAAACAAACTTATCACCTATGCAGAAACATTGGTTTATATCATTTGATGATAGATTTTTGAAACCATTTTTTACACGAAATATAGATTTTAGACATGGGCCACCCCATGATAGATGGGATTATGGAGAAAGGAGACATGAAGGAAATAACGATGCTTTCATAGGATTAGCGGGAGAGCCAGTGAGAGGTGATTCTTCTTTGAGAACTCCTGTAAGAAGAAATGGAGGGGGAAATTATAACAATTCAAGAACTGGACTAAAGCGAGGAAATTATAATGAAAATTTGTCAGAAGGTTCCCTATTATCCTCACAGCAACAGGACCTTAGTATAACGAATCCAAAAACAGTCGGACTACAAAGTTTCCCTGATTTGGGTACTTTGTTGTCTAATGAAAATCAAAATGAAGATAAAGACGCGAACGAACAAGTCTTAGTAGATCTTAATGAACTTTAAATAGTTAAATTATTATCGTTGAACATTTATAAGGAAATAATATATCTAAATTTTCTATTAAGGAAAAAGTATATATTTTTCTTTTTGGTTGGATTTATGAATGATTTTTTAGAAAGGAATTTATTTAAGGTTAAACATCAAAAAAAAAAAAAAAAAAATTGCTTGGAGCTAAAGTTTTATCATGTATTATTATTATAAAAAGTATAAAATAATTTATTAAAAATGTAGAATGAATATTTAATAAATGGTTCAGCAACTTGTCTCAAATTCAAGTCTTCTATACTGTTTTAATGATGATATTTCCAAAATGCTTGATCACCGATAGGGATGTTAACGATCCAACATCGGGTTGAGATTGGACGATGATATTTAATCATCTAGCAGCAGTAGCATATGAACTCAACAAAATGGAATTTACCAAATTCATTTCTTTACAAATGGTTTTTTTACAAGTGAATCTATTTTCACTTGTTTTTCCTAATATTCAATACTTCAATACCCTTTGTTATTTCCGGGTCTTTGTCATAAATAAACATCAAAATAAAAAGCTTGTTCGGTGTAGATAAATAATCTTTAGAATTTATATTTATGAATCTTTACTATTAAAGAGTTATATAGTGAATTAAATTATTATATCACGAAAATGTAAGTTACTATTATTTTCAAAAAGATTATAAGAACATAGTTGAAAACTTTTAAGATTGAAAATTTTGTTTTAATAAAATATTTTTTATATAAATGTTAAAAATCATATTTATATTTTTTTATTATATATATTATTAAATTAATATTATATTATATATTAATAAAACTAAAAGTTAATAATATAATTATTAAAAAAAATTTATAAAATGAAATAAATAAATAAATTTAAAATATATAAAGCCTTATAATTTAAAATATAAAAATTTATAATATTATATGGGAAGTTTGCTAGGAAAATGGGGCTTTGAGCATTTTTTATTAAAATTTTAATTTTTATTGCATTTTAATTTTTGATAATGTTAGATTAATATGCAATAAAAATTAAAATTTTAAAAAAAAATGCTCAGAACCCCATTTTCCTAGCAAACCTCCCATATAATATTATATTATTTTATAAATTTAAAGAAAATTATTAAAAATTTAAAATATTTTAAATCAATTATATTTTTTTTTAAGTTATAATGATTATAAATTTTTTTTTAAAATATTATTAATTCTTTAAAATTTTAAATTTATTACTAATAATTATCTTATAAATATTAAATTAAATTATATTTATAATTATTACTTCTAATATTATAGGATTCAATTAAAAATTAATAATAAAATTTATATGAAATAAAAATTTTATATTTTGTTTATTTTTAAAACATTAGTTTTTATTTAAAATCTAATTTTTTACTTTAAAATAAATTGATTTTTTAATATAACTAGGAAAAAAAAATTTTTTTATTTATTTTAAAAATATTATATCTAATTAGTATAATAAATAAATTTTTTGCAAATCTTACCAGCTTAATTAATTTTATGCAAACGTGGCACGGGGTGGACAAATTTAGGAATGATCATCGAACAAACAAATAACGTACAATCAAAATCTTTTTCTCTCAAATTTATGAACCCAAAAATAATAATAAAAAAAAGATAACAAATAAAATAATGTCGGCACAATTTTTTCCTAAATTAAGTCAAAATTATATTGAAATTTTGGAAGATAATGAATACTATGATATTACAATTGAGGTTGGGGAAGATCCAAATGTGAAAATATTCCGTTCACACATGAATATTTTGTGTTATCGTTCTCCATTTTTACGACGAACTATGGCTTCTGAAAAAGCAAAAAGCGAAGGTACCCTTACTCACATTAAATTGCCAAAAATCTCGCCGGAAATCTTTCAAATTCTTCTAAGGTATTTATATTTTAAAAAATAAGCAAGACATCATCATTTTACAAGTATCAATAACTTTAACTTTTTATAATGTAGGTACATTTATGGAGGGGTCATTTCATTAAACGAACAACACATTTCAGACATTCTACATATATTGGCGGCTGCTGATCAGCTTCTCCTTCAAGAGCTAGTTGAATATTTACAAAATTATCTGATCGAGAATAAATCTGGATTGATCGATAAACATTTTGAGCTAACTTGCCAAATATCTTTTCAATCCAACTCTTTGTCGGAACTTCAGCAATTATGTACAGACATTATAGCAAAATCGCCTGATAAAATATTTAAATCACTTGATTTTACCACGATCCCTGAAAAATCTTTAATTTCACTTATTAAAAGGGATGATTTGCAGATGAAGGAAGTCGACATTTGGGATCATGTATTGAGATGGGGTCTTGATAAAAATCCTACGCTCATTCCGGATCCTTTCACTTGGACGGATAATGACTTCAAAATCATGAGAAATACTTTACAAAATATTTTACCCTTAATTAGGTTTTATAGTTTATCTTCTGATGAATTCACACAAAAAGTTCGTCCATATAGAAAGTTATTAAAGTATCAACTCTATGAAAATCTATTAAGTTCTTACTTGGATTCTAATAGTGAGCCAGGTGATGATATCTTACTCCCTAGACAAAAGAACATTGATGGAATCATTAACTCAAAAATCGTTAATCTAAATCTTGTTTCCGTAATTTCAAGATGGATTGATAAAATTGATACCAAAAGCAAATTTGCTCACGCAAGGGAATTGTACTTACCATATGAATTTAAATTATTATTAAGAGGAAGTCGAGATGGGCTCACTCCTAAAAAGTTTCATGATTTATGTGATAATGTACCTTATACCGTTACATTCATTAAGGTAAAAGGAACGGAACAAATACTTGGAGGATATAATCCTTTGATATGGAAACATTCTTATGAGATGGCTCAAACAAAGTATAGTTTTATATTTTCGTTTAAGGGCAAGAATAATTTTGAAGGTTCAATTTTAAGCTATGTAAATAATACAGAAAACGCGTTATATTATGGTCCCCTCTGTGGTCCTTCGTTTGGTAATGATCTTCGCCTAGCGAATAATCTTTTGGCTTTTGTGGATTATAATAATAATAGTTGTAAACAATGTGATTATGAAAAAAAGATCAGAGATTCAGAAGAAAATTTTTCGATAGAAGATTATGAAGTATTTCAAATTTTGAAAAATAAGAAAAAATAATTTTGATTTTCATGTAATATAATCAATAAATGTTTTACGATGTAAGCATTATTATTCATTAAATGATCTTTTAGTTAAAAGAGTTACATGTTATGCATGCATTTTAAAGAAATAAGAAACACCTTTTAGGGAGCCTAATTAATGCCGATTCCGATAATTTAAAACAGTGTAATACGCATTTATATTAAAAACTTACACGAAGGATAGTTTGAAATATAACAATCTAGGTTTTTCCTTGTGACATTCGTTTTTTTATATTCAATAAATTTTAGTCGTTGCTATTAAAATCGAGTTATGGTAAATTATGATTCAAAAGTGATTTCTAATAGCAAACCATCTATTTCTTTAAACATTTGTGGTTGGATAAAATGATTTATGGAAGCACATCAAATTTTTTCTAACCTAATACAATCATATGACGGAATACTAAATAAAGATGATCATCAGTAATGCAAATTGACACCTAACGCATTATTTACTTAGATTCAATATGCGAAGAAATCACAATTTGAAATCAAGATATTGTTGAGAGCTCTTTAATTACAACTCTAATTAAGCTGGATTTAAGTTAGATGATTGTTTTGTAATAGATATTCAGTTTTGATACATACGCTGCTTGTGGTACCAACATTTATTAATTGGAATTTAAAGACATTTAAGTCAAGATATGATTCATATTTATAAATTTTCCTAAATATTTCATTTCTATCAAGACCATAAATGAATTTAGATAAATAATTGAAAAATATTAGCATGAGAGATTTATTCTCTTACAATATTAAGTACATTACATATGGAACATATTATAGTATTGATTTTTTGGATCACACGGATTAATAAATATGATAAGAAGCGAGGCACGAAGTTTGAGTGGTGAAATTTCTGGCTCAGCAATCTATTATTCATGTTGCATTTTGAAAAAAAGTCTATAAGGAACGATAATGCCGCCAAGTGTTGTACTCTTATATCAGTCTCTATCTTTCTTTCCAGTTTCCTTTCTCTTTATCCAATCGAATATTATTATTCGTTTCTTTAAAATTTTATAATTACTATAAAATAAGATCGATTCTTGATATTTTAACATTAAAATATCAAACGGTAAGGTAATCATTTACCTTCTCTTGACTAAAATATGACGCATTCAAATAACGGTTGTGGGGCAGAACCCTTAGGTTTCGACGATAACCATTAAAGCTATAATAGTCGAAACTATAATAATTCAATAAGGTTAACAGCGAAACACGGATTTTGACTTTGCCATTTGCTAAAATGAGTTTTACCCACAATTATTATGAATACGTATATTCTCTTTCCAATTGGGGACTTTGTATAGAAAGGGACGATTATAGGATGACCATATGATGGGAATATTTCTATAATTAGAGCATTTCTTCTTCTCGACCTCAAAAAGATTATTATTTTATCAAATATTCGTGTATTTTAAAAGCACAATTTGTTTAATTGAAAGTATTTCGCAAGGAAAATGTATATCTATTCGTTCAATTTTAGATTTGAATGTGAATTTGATGCCTTGGAAGATATATATAAAATAATTCATGGAGGAGAACATAATATATTAGAACTTTTGGAATTCCTGAAGTTGCTGGTTTGACTTCGATTTATTGGTGATACGTAAACCTAGATAAATAATCACAAAGAAAGGCTCTGACTTGTATTATTTAACACAATTTTTTATATTTAATATAATATAATATGATAATTTCTGGTATTGTTTTTACAATTTAATGCATTATTTATTTTCTTCATTTAATAGTGAATTTGATTGGATCACCAAATATTAAATATTCCAAATAAATACACGTGACTTTTTGTTGATCACAGGATAAGGTTGCCCAATCAAACTTAAGATGACGGATTTGGTGATTTATTATATATACTCCTTTTTGTTTTCAATCAATTACTCAGGAATTTTTTACTTTTTATCAAATGGATGAACTTCAACAACTTTACGAAGAGGCACTATGCCCCACGGATCCTTCAGTTGCGGACACCGCAGAAACGGTTTATTTTTCATCTTTATCTTTGCTTAAGGTAGGCAACTTGAAAAAATTCCAGAATTCAAATTCAATGATTTTTATCAAGTCAGTTGTTATAAAAAATTGGCAAAAAAAATACAATGCAATGTATTAATTATTCATATTTTTATTATATAATTATTATTATAACTTTGTTTATTTGATAGATGTTGAAACATGGTTAGTCGATTATTTAATTTGTCGCGATTGATTGATTCAACGCTAAACTCGATTTCTTTTATAGGACGAGCCGGTGTACCCATGGAAGTTATGGGATTAATGCTTGGAGAATTCGTGGATGAATATACTGTAAGCGTAATTGACGTATTTGCTATGCCGCAAAGTGGTACAGGCGTATCCGTAGAAGCGGTCGATCATGTTTACCAAACAAAAATGTTGGATTTGCTGAAGCAAACTGGACGGTACGAATTAATTATTAATTGAAATTATTTATGGAATTCCTTAGGTTCATATCTGACTTTACAAATGAATTTATTAGGTCCGAAATGGTAGTTGGGTGGTATCACTCTCACCCTGGATTTGGATGTTGGTTGTCTGGTGTAGATATAGAAACACAAAGGAGTTTTCAGTCATTAAATAAAAGGGCTGTGGCTGTAGTGATTGATCCTATACAGTCTGTCAAGGGTAACGTAGTTATTGATGCTTTTCGTCTGATCAATCATCATTTGTTTATGCTTGGTCAGGAGCCACTTCAAAGCACATCCGTTGTCGGAGGACATAATAAAAAACAAAATATTCAGGTACGATCATGATTTTCAATTCACATTTATTTTTAGATATAATATATATTTGTTAACTTTCAACTTTCTCTTAGGCTAAATTTCATGGTTTGAATAAATATTATTATTCGATTATAATTAATTATCGAAAGAAAGAATTGGAACAAGCTATGTTGCTCAATCTGCACAAAAAAAATTGGACCAATGGATTGACTCTCCCAGATTTTAAGGAACACACCAAAATCAATGGAAAGAGTGTCAATGTAAATATTCTTGTTTTCCCACCTATTAATTTATTTTTTGATCTTATGAAAGCTTCAAATTTTTTTCTTTTTAGTCGATGGTTACATTGGCAGGAGCATATGATAAATCGGTACAAGAGGAATCAACCATGAAGCCTGAACAATTGAAAATACGACATATTGGAAAACAAGATCCAAAGCGTCATTTGGAGGAAAGTGTGAAAGAGGTCATGTCCAATAATATTGTAATGACATTAGGAACCATAATTAATTCAACCAGTTTCGTAACCATAAATCAAGAAGATGAACCTCAGGAATGACTTTTATTCAAACAATATTTGATTTGAATTTGAAATCATATGTTTACACGCAATTTAGTTTTAATTTGCTTACGTTCAATTAATAAACTTGATTTATGAACTTGCTAAAAGTAGCATTTCATGAATCTCAACCTATGCTTAAATTTCGTTCTAATGTAATATATAATTCATAATGTAATGCAGAAGTCGTTCATCTGTTAAAATTTCTTTGATCAATTAATATTTGCTAGAATCTTAACGAAATGATATCTCGTGCTTATAAGCACGATAGGGAACGGTTGCTCTTAATGAACTCTTTGATATATATTGGGAACATCCACGGAGTTACATCTAAATTATTGGTATCATCTATTGTAAATTTTGGAGCTGACTCAGCCACTCGATAAACACTTTTCAGTCGACTAAGCGTCGAATGAATCAAAATCATAATTTTATTACAAAATTTTAATATTTAAAAATATTATTTAAAAATTTAATTAATGTTGCAAAAAGTATATTAAAAATAAAACTTTGTTTGTAATGTTTGCACTTCGACTAAAATATCTTTATAATTAAAAGTTTTAAGAATTCTTTCTGCTAATAATTTGAAACTTTATTAGTTGATATTTTTATCAAATTTGAAACAGATTCGGCTCAGTCATTTAAAAATACCGGAGTTGACTCTGCAGAGTCTACTCAGCCGTTGACGTTTACTCACACTCCAACGACCGGTATCAATAAGTCGCGAAGAATAGCATTTAGACAAGCTGGACCAAAAAAAAACACCGCAATAACTTATTTAATTCACGAACTCAAATAAAAATTCTTGGATAATTATCGTAAATCGTCATCAATATTCAGTTTTTTAAATAAATTTGTAATGTTCTTAAGAATCTATAGCATATATAAGTAGGATGTGCGAGAAACAAAGGCCATTACAAAAATGATTTTGTTTTTACGGATATTATAAAGATAAAAAATACTCGTACATAATAACGTTCGCTTAAAAACGAGAAAACAGCAGCAATTGTGATTTGTGCTCTTTATTATCTGGATTAGTGATCATACTCTTCAACTCGTAATTCGAATAACTCGAATTTATCATGATTCGAGTAAGTGATTTTTAACTCGTGAGTCAACCATATTTTTATAAAGTTTCACAATTTAATAAAATGTACTTTACTTGCGATTGCAACTTATTATCTCAACCTCAATTAATTAATAGTCAGTTTATTTATAATACCAAATTTCCATAAAAACGTTCTCGAATCTTAAAAGAATCCCATGAGGGATATTATAGTCAAAGCAATATAATTACCTCAACGTTAGGAAGGGGCTTCGTTTGAGACTTATTTTAGAAAGATGATAATGAGAACACTGCAACTTGTTAGGTTGTGTTGGACAATGGTGAAGAATTTGGAGTTTCGTATTATAATGGCCCGACATTTCGCTCGTAACATAGGATATTCTTCTGGACCTAAAAATATATATATATGTTTTCTTAATTTTTTAAAGTCTTGATTAATAGATGATTAATAAATTCATAAAATTTTAAAAAATTTTGTAATGACTCAAATAACTCGAGTAAACTCGAATATTTTATTCAATCACAAAATTCGAGTACTCTTCTGAGTTTAATTCACGAGTTGTCATTTCTATCATAAGTTACCGAACGCTTCGTGGGTAAAGTCCAAATCCAATGATTGGTATTTTATTTCTCGAGGATTCCATGTTATAATTATAAAATCTATTAACACGTGATCTCATTACATTGAAAGCTTTTGATACTAAATATCGACAAGAATTCACCTTTCAAAGAAACCCTCCGCAAAAAATTTATATAAAGACGCGAGGAGGAAAAGACATCCTAATTAAATTTGTGCAAAAAGTAAAGCTCTTTTTTTTTTTTTTTTTTTTTTTTGACTGCCGATCGATTTTCTAAAAAAGATTTTGACATAACATTCGGAATCATTTTCGATCGGTTTGAATATTTGAAACAATATGAATTTCAAGGAAATCGAGAAAAAATACCACTTGTTGAAATAATCCGAATCCTCTAAGAATGTCGTAGATAAAAAATGAAATTAATATCGTGATTAACTTTCATTATGAAATGAAGTGCAGCTGATGTTACAATTTCATTTACATAAATTTTTTTTTTAAACTCCTAATTCGCTGTCAAGACATAGTTTTAACAAATATCTGACTCAATATTATTCCCGAAGGTTTGTATATAATATTTTCTCTCATAATTGAGTTTTATTACTAATAAAGTGATCGCCTTCCGAAACTCCTGAAAATTTCACCGTCCATCAGAACAGAAAACATTATATTTACTATCATCCGACATTTCATTTTTTCAATCATCATAACTTCTAGTGTCTTTAATTTTTTTTTTGCAGACTCGTAAAGAGGTGAGATATTTTTACTTTAACGGCAAATTTCAAAATATTGTTTAAAAGAGTAACTTCAATATTATAATCTACTGCACAAGAAGTTTCGAATAGCAGTTGATCATCTGTTCATTCTGTTAAACTTTGAGGTTGGTAGAGTTATCGTTATAATTCAAGAAATCGCGTGTAAAACTCGCATAAAACCAATTCGGCCAAACAAGTCGTTTCGTTAGTTCGTTAGTATTGGCTCGAGCCACTATAAAACGGCTCGCGTGGCTTGAATTTGCCATCTTTGAAGAAAATGCATCCGGACGGATGTGTTTCTATGAAAAAAAAAGTCTGAGGCGTTTCCTTGAGGAAAAAATCATCATGCTACCGGAGCGTTTATTTGAAGAAAATTCTTTGGTAACTTTTTCTTTGAAGAGAATTGCTCCGGAGAAGTTTCCTTTTAAGGAATCGCTTCGAGCTTTTCCTTTAGTTTCGGAGACGTATCGTTCGAAGAGAATCGTTCCGGCTAATGCGAAGCTTTAGTCGCGTGTTATCAAGCATAAAAATGAATTTTCATAGTAAAAGCAGTATTTTTGGCCAAGAATGATGGATCCCATTGAAGTTGACTGAAATAGAATTGTTGCATAAATAAAGTTGAATAAGAATCGAGCGAAAAACTATGAATGTTCTCAGATTTATTAAATACAATTATAATTTTTTATTGATATCAAAACTTAAAAAGGTATAACATAAAATGATTCAAAAATATAAATTAAATATAGCTAAATATGATTATTAGATATTAATTAGATAAATATTTTATACTATTATAATATACTATAAATTTTGAATTTTAAATAAAATAACAAATTAACCTTTATCCTTGAATTTAAGACAGTTTGTTCACGCTAAATTAGTTGCATCTCCACCTGATCAAGATTTTGTTGAGCCATTTGAACCCCTTGTTCAGCAGACTTTTTATACCAATAAATAGTTTTCCTTATATCTTTATCAACTCCTTCTCCATGTTGATACATAAGGGCAAGATTGAATTGTGCTATTTTGTTTCCCAAATTCGCCGCTTTCTTATATAATTCAAACGCCGTATGCTTATCAATCACAGTTCCGATTCCATTATTATAACAACATCCTAGGTTCAATATTCCGTTCAAGTATCCTCCTTCGGCTGATTTTCTGAATAACTCAAAAGCTTTATTATTATCCATGCTTTTACCTTTCCCGTATAAATAACAAACCCCAAGGTTATGCATTGCGACTATATTTCCATTGTCTGCAGCTTTTTCATAAAAATAAGTCGCCATTTTTAAATCCTGTTTAACGCCTATTCCATTGTAATATAAATATCCAACACTTAATTGTCCTACGGCATAATCTTCATTGGCCATCTCTTCATAATATTTAAAAGCCAACCTTTCGTTCTTTCTAACACCATTTCCAAATTCGTAACACATTCCAACATAAAGCTTTGCCAACGTATAATTTCGTTCCGAAACATTGATAAACAAATTAAATGCTCTCTCCTTGCTTTCAAATACTCCAATTCCATAATAATAAAGATATCCAATTAAAAAAATGGAATTTGAATCATTTTGATTAACTAATAACAAATTAACGATTTCTTGTAAAGCAATCTTATTATTATCAAGATATCCATGAATGAGCTGATTAATGGTTTCTGGCTCCATTCCCTTATTTATCTCTTTACAAATAAGATCAACTATCTCATTAATCATTATACTCCATTTATTTTCAGGTAAAGGTTCTATACCTATCATATAATTATTTTGAGACGAATCTTGTAATAAATAACTTATACTTAAAGTAGACGTTTTAACGTTAACTCGTCGTTCATTTGGTAATGGAAGATTTAATTTATAATTATCTATTTGGGTACTTTCTGATATTACGCTTGCGCTTGCGTACATTGCTTTTAATTCAGCAACCACTTGATTCATGTTTGGTCGATTGTCCGGTTCTTCATTCCAACATTCTAAAATTTATAATTTAATTCAGTAAAATATTTAAAATTCAAAGATTAGTACAGAATAAGATACGTACTCGTAAATAGTTTAGCATAATCGGTAGGTGTATTTGAAACGACCTTTTCTCTTAAACCTAGTGAAATCTCATAAATCAAACCAACATCATGTTGCTCGCCTTTAATATAAAACGGAGGATGACCGCTTGATATCTCCCATAAGAGTATTCCAACACTATAAACATCACTCGTTTTATTTAATCTATAAGGTTGCATTGGATTATCAATATTCCTTCGTCTACTAAACATTTTTGGGTCAATATAAGGTATGATGCCAAAAAGTTTGGATTGTCTTGAATTTTCCTCAATCCTTTTTGATAATCCGAAATCGGCCAATTTAATAATATCTTGATGAACCAGTAAGTTTTTGGAGTGCTATTATGTAAAATTATTACACGCAAAGATTTTTTTAGATAACATTATTTTTTTTTAATCAATAATCAAATAAATCATTAAATTATGCATTACCAGGTCTCGATGGACAATTCCTTCGTTATGTAAACATGATACAGCATAAGTCAACTGACATGCCAAATTGTATTTATCTTTCCAAGTAAGTTCGTAAAATCGCTTCCTCAAATAATCACGTAGTGTACCGCCATCGGCATATTCCATCACAAACAAATATTTCTTGCATTGCTCATGTTGATGTTGAATATCTGCACCAATGAGATCATTAATTAACGTCTAAATAATTACGTCTTAAGCACCAACTCATCGCCACTATACCTTGATTTAAAGCCGTAACTCCATAAATACGAATAATATTCTTATTGAAATCAACTTCACGCTGATGGTTGAACTAAAAAAAATAAATAAATAAATAAATACAGACGTTAGATATTATAGAAGTGAATAGAATTACGCTTCATATGTTTTACCTCACGAAAAATTTCCTTAACGGTGTAATTATCAAGATTAAAAAATTGTTTTAATGCGAAATATTGTTCTGAATTTTTCCAATTTGCACGATAGACTATGCCGAATGCTCCCGAACCAATTTTTTGAAAATTGCTAAAATGTTCGTACTCGTAATATTTAATATGTTTCTTAAAAATCGCTTCTTCCATCCAATTAATCCACTCGTTTGAATTATCGATATTTTGCATTTTAATTTTAATAACGAAAAAAAAAAAAATTGGAATAAAATAATATTCTCCTTTTTCAACACTTGCTCTCAAAGGACTTTTTTTATATTTAATACGTTTTTTTTTTTGATTGCACTTAAATTTTTAATAAAAAAATATATATATATTTAATAACTTTTTAGATAAATTTAAATAACTTTGTTTCTCAACTCAGGTAATTAAGGAAATCGGTGGTTAGAGAAATTATGAGAAAAAAAAATCTTTCTTATGACCTCCTGAGCAACGTTACATATTTCACTTGGCTTATTTCGTGACACTTGAACACAAAAGGAAGCTACTGATATTACCTAATTTTATCCCCCTATTAAAATATCTTTTAAGTTTAAACCATTGATAAGATTTCTATATATAGTTGATAACTGAAAAGGATCACTAACCATCTTTACTTCGCAAATTTGAATTTATATAGAAATTGTTTTTAAATATACTTATGCTAACTAAACATTCTTTTTTTAAAAAATTCGGATATCTGATCGGATAAAGTATGAAAAGTTGTGTTGAAAAAAATTATTGAGTTTATAAATCATCAAATCAAGAAATGAACGATCTAATTTATCATTGCGAAAGCTTGTCTTAATGATTAAAAATAAATTTTTTAAAAAAAAACTATCAATAACTGAATATATGGGAATATTTCCAGTAAAATCAAGTCATGAGGCATATGATCCGTAATGTGATTTTACTGAAAATGAAATCAAATCACGTTCACGCGATTTGATTGGTCAAAAAGTTTGTGTAAATCAAAAAAATTTTCACATTTACATCTACATCTTATGGTCACATATTGTAATAAATATTTAAAAAAAAAAAATTTATTAAAATAAATTAAAAATAAAATAGTAAAATAAATTATATAATTTATTTAAAGTTAAAATAAAATTATTAAACCTAATAAATCTAAATTAAATCTAATATTATTACTTTGAATTTTAATAATTTTTTTTAAAAATAAGAACTTATATATAAAAAAAAATTAATTTATAAAATTTTTTTAATAAATTATTCTTAATTTATTGATTATATAAAATTCATTTATTAGTCAATTATATATAAAAAATTTTCTTTTTTTGATTAATATTAAAATTTAATATAATATTATTAATCTTGTTAATGTGAAATTCTTATAAACTATAACTATAAAATAAGGTGTTTGAGTATTAATTTTTTTAATTACACAGTAATCTTTAATATTTACAAATTCACTTAATAACTAGTTTTTAAAGAGTTGTATTTATATGAGTGTTCATAAATGTTAATTTACGATTTACTAAGTAATTATGTTTTAAAATAATAAAGTTTATTCACAAGTTAAGAAAATAAAAGAAATAATAAGAACAAAAAGAAAATAAAAAAAATTAATTACTAAAACTAAAGGTAATGTAATAAGACTATTTGTCTTTTAAAAACTATTAGAAACTACTTATCAAATCTTGCCTTTTATATAATCTAAAAGGCTACCTATTTATATAAAATATATTACATAGAAAATAAAACTGATATCATATATGTTTAATTTATCATATATAATAAATATGAGAAGTGATCAATAGAAAAAGGGAAATTCAAAATCTTTATTAATTTTTATTATTAAGCTAAATTTATGCACATGACTGAGATCAGCATAATGATCTAATAATATAAATTTTGATTAAAATTTAGATTTTCTCCTTTTTTACTAATCACTTCCCATATATATCTAATATGTCAAATATGTCTAATTTATCAATTATGTCTAATATGTCGATTATATCAGAAATATTAAATATGCCTAAAATAGCAGGTATATCAGATTTGTCAAATTGGTCAGTTATTTATATCATATATATTATATAATATTTATCTATTCACAATATTATTAAAAACTAAAATGCAATAATAATTAAAATTTATTATAAGATATATAGAAGATTTGCTAAAAAAAATATAATTCTAAAAATTTTTTTGATTAAAATTTCTATTGTTTTTATTATAAATTATTTAATAATTAAAGAATTAAATTTATTATACAAGTAAATATCATGTTATAATAGAAATTTAACTAAAAAGATTATACTTTTTGAATAATAAATATTAATATGAAATAATATTAAATATTTACTTATTATTTTTGATTTTAATATTTTAATTATATTAAATATCTAATAATTAATATACTATTATATCAGTTCTTTATTTATTTTGCTAAATATTTTAGCAAAAGATTTAATTTAAATAAAATAGTAGTTTTAATATATGTAATAATTATTATATAAAGAAAAAAAATATATAGGAAACAATCAATAAAAAAGGAAAAATTTTAATTTTAATTATTATTAGACTATTTGGCTAATCTCAGTTATATAAACAAAATTAGTTTAATAATTAAAATTAACTAATTTTAAATTTTCTTCTTTTCTATTAATTACTTCTCATATATAAAATATATAAAGAATATATATTATTAATAATTAAACTATAATATTATATACTATATATAAAATCAAAATAAAAATCCAAAAGTTAAAATATTTTGACTTTAAAAGTTAAAGTTGAAATAAAAGTTAAAATAATATATATCATATGATTTTTATATATATAAAAAAAATGGATGAATTTAATCTGATGTTTATAAAACAACTATCATTTGATTTCATGACTAAATATATTTAATAATTTATATAGTGAATTCATAATATACCGTAGAATATTACACAAAATACTCTAGGTATAAATCAATTTTTTCAATTTAAAAATTGATTCATATCCATAGGTATCTTGTGAAGAGCAGGATATAATAAGTGGTAGAGTATTTTAATAGGGGGTATTATATCAGAAGTTTCTATTGTAAAGGAGTTACAAAGTATAAACTAATCTTATATAGTCTATACCGATAATTGACATAGCATATAGGCGTATATTAAGAGGTAAAAGTACAAACTAAATATATATAGTCTATATCGACAACTTTTATATAGGATACATAGCAATAATACACAATATATTTGAAATATAATAAATAAAGCATACATTCAGTGTTTCTCAATTATTCTTTTTTACTTTATTTTGTTCAAAAAAATTTCTTGTTGATTTATTTTAAATAATTTAACAATCTTTTTTTAAAAATTTATTGTAAAATTACCTTTTCTTTACATAATTTACATATAATAAGTAATTAATTGAGTGAAAACTTAATTAATTAGTTTGGCAAGTTTTTTTTATTTTATTACATAAATCGCATTTATTAATCAATATAGAAATTTTAAAGTTGAAATAAAAATGTTTTATAATGTGTAGCGTTGCTACATTTTTTTCATATTTTTCTTTATATTTTTGGGATTTTGTTTTTTCATTTTTTGTTTTATTTTTCAAGGCTAAACGTGCGAGAGTTTCAGAAAAAAGGAAAAGGCAATGGTCTGCATGAAAAAAGTTAATGATAATAACTTATCATAAAAAAGGTCATAGTAAAAGGTCAACTGCAGATAAGTTTAGAATAGAACCTAAACAGCTTCGTAATTGGATTAATAATAAGAATAAGCTTATTAGCGTGACCCTTATGTTCAAAAGTTAAATACAGGTATGCATCCTAAATTCTCACACATTGAAGATGAGCTTATTGAATGGTTCACTGAAGCTAGAGGTCAATTAAAAACAGTAACTCAATTTATGATTCAAATTAAAGCACGTTCATTAGCAAAAAAAAATTATGCCAATCAGAATATCCTAATGTAAGAAATGCTAAATTTTCACGAAAATAGTTTGATGGTTTTATGTCTCAGCACAAATTATCAAATAGAAGAAAAACTATAATTACACAATGTCTTCCTGAGGATTATGCAGAGAAACAATCAGAATTTTTATCTTATATTATATATTTGAGAAAAGAGAATCAATATCTATTATCCTTTATCAGAAATATGAATGAAATACCAATGTCATTCAATCTTCCAAGTAATACAACTGTGAAACAATCTGATTCTAAAACTATAACAATTTTATCTACTGGTCATGAAAGATCAAATTTTACCATTGTGTTAGCTTGTTTGACTGATGAGATGAAGTTACCTCCAGTTATTATTTTCAAACTCAAAAAGATTCCCCATGAAGAATTTTCTGAAAGTGTAGTAATCGTGCAAAATTACAAGGATGGATGAACAAAAAAGAAATGATATGATAAACTGAAAATATTTGGTCAAAATGTTCACAAAGAGGTAGCAACCCATGATCTCTCTTGGTATTAGATTCATTTTCCGCTCATAAAACTAAAGTTGTAAAGAAACAGCTTTTTGAAAAAAAACTAACATAGTAATCATTCTGGGCAAACTAACTTCCAAATTATAACCATTTGATGTTTCCTTGAACAAACCTTTCAAAGCAAAGGTTAGAAATCAATATAACCATTGGATGAGTGAGATAATTAAAGAATACACTCCGTCTGAAAAAATCAAAAGACCTTCTTATTCTCTTATAGCTACTTGGATAAAGAATAGTTGGAAAGCTATGAATATTAATATTATTCGATATTCTTTTAAGTGTTGTAAAATTTCGAACAATATGAATGGATCAGAAAATACTTAATTTTTAACTTTGATCG